TGAAGCACACTACAATAAATGATAGCGTCGTAAAGAATATGTAAACCCAATATTTCATATTCCTGATATGTGTCTGCTGTACCACATACTTGTATGAAAAAATATCCTGTCTCCTTTGTATTGCTTCTTTTGTGTGAAATCCCTGGTGTTCCTGGCAGTCCCTTTCTTATTAAAAAATACCACACTAGTCATGAGGGCACAGCGTGGTCAGTTTTCTGGCTGTGCTGGGAGCTAATCCAATGATCAGGTTTGTCCTGACATGCTCCCCCCCCACATAGTCATTCACTGGGAAGATTAGTATGCTTGTGTTTCTCCTTCTCTAGCTCTCTGAGCTCCTTATGCAGTTTAGAACAGAGGGAATCTGATCAATTATAAAACAAGGAAAAAAGAAAATCATGCATAATGTATACACAAATATTTTGCCTTTCATTTCTATTGTAACCACTTGCCCTCCACTCTATAGCTGGAGTACTGCTACAGGGCATCATGGCTGTGCAAAATCATATATATATGTGCTTTGCATTTTTGGGTAGGGGCGCTCGCCTCCCTACCTGCGCTGCTATTGGTTGCTGGCATCGGGACTTGGTGATCGTCGGCAGGGCTGAGAGGGGAGAGATCTGTGTATAAACAACACATATCTCTCTCCTGTCAGCATGGACATGCTGCTTTGTATCTCTCTACACAGCAGAGAGATACAAAGCAGCATGTCTCCCAAGTAAAACAGCACACAGCACACAATGTAAAACACACACAGCACACTGTTAACATTTTGATCACCCCAGAAGTTAACCCCTTCCTGCCCAGTGCCATTAGTACAGTGTCAGTGCTTTTTATTAGCACTGACCACTGTATTAGTATCACTGGGGATGTCAGTGGCAGATAGTCAGTTCTCACCCAGTATAAGAATGCCCATCGCAGTCCCGCAATCCCAATATAAGTCGCTGATCGCCACCATTACTAGTATATAAAAAAAATTCCAGTATCTATTCCTCCATTTGTAGGCGCCATAACCTTCACGTAAACCAATTAATATACACTTATTGGAATTTTTTTTTTAGAAAAGACATGTAGCAGAATACATTTTGGCCTAAATTCATGAACACATTTGATTATTAATAGTTTTATAGCAAAAAGTCAAAAATATTGTTTTTTTTTCACAAAAAATAAAAAACACACAGCTGATCAGATACCACCGAAAGAAAGCTCCATTTGTGGGGGAAAAATTACATAAATTTCATTCATGTACAGCGTTGCCTGACATATCACAAAAACGTGTGTTTCGCTTGTTGTGAAAATACAATGGTGTAAATTCAACCTTCAGTCCCCATGAAAGCTATGTGTTGTGATAAAGCATGGTGTGCAGTGCATTGTAGTGCCATTCAATTAAATAGCCATCCACACTGCTTTGTGGTGTGCTGTATTAAAAAAGTGCAGGTACAGTTTTTGGTATTTTGTCTTGTGTTGGCTTCCCTGAAGTAGGACTAAAGAAACATTTTTTTTTCCATTTTGTATAGGGTAAGGGAGGTTTTTTTTCCATCTGCATCCCACTGGGGAGATTACTTTTCACTTACTGTCCCAAAACCAACAAAAAGGAAGTCAGTGGAAATCTCTCCAAAGTAAGGGAATCCTTGGTTTTCACCAGAACTAATATTCTTATTGGAAGATTTCCCTTCAATTACTGTTTGGGGGACAACCCAAAATTTGGGATTTCTTTTACTTACATTTTCAATGATAATAGTAAACATGACAAATAGAGAGGGTGAATCTCCCTAATGGGGACATAGACAGCAATACAACCTGAGAGGTTTTCTAATCCATCTCTGCTCTGTTGAAAACAAAAAAAAAAGAAAGCGATATTTAAAAGAGATGTATGGGGATTTGTTTATTAACCTAGGTGGAGGCAGCATCAATCTGATGCTGCATCTGTTCCCCATTGGTTCTAAGCGTGAGAACTGAGTGATTAAACACTGCTGATTGCTCAGCTCCTCCTGCTGCTCTGAGCAGAGAGACGGGTCAGTCTCTGGCTTTCTGCTCTGCCCCTCCTGTGCTCACTGGAGCGCTGGGCTGTGGAGGGGGTGGGAGGGGCTGGCTCAGGCTCTCAGTGGCTTGCTGAGTGACATCAACTGACAGTGGACTTTATCCCGCTCTCAGCTGAAAATGGGACATAGGAGTGCAGAATAAATTAGGCACAGAATAATCATTGGCTGCACTTCTCCTTTAATGTGGCACATGTTAATGTATGTAAAATCAGACTGCAAACTTAAGGGAGCCTCGGTAAAACTGTAAGGAGATAGGACCTCTCTCATGATTTTTCCACTTATTTCCTGTCTCAGACATAGGAGTCACCTGCTTAAAAAGGCTTGTACATTCAACGTTTACTAATTCTAAAAAATAATATGTTTCTACAGTTTGTCGTTTTTCAGGTTAATATTACAAGGCAACATTAATTTTCATATTTGACAGCCATGGAACGCACTCTTGAGCAGTCCAAGCAGATTCTCTGCAGCTTCAGTGCAGCTGAGTTCACACTCTGTAAAGGTGATGGACATTTAAATAAAGGGCGCCAAAAGTGCTGGTTTTCCCTCCCTAATTACTTGGCAATAGCATTGAGAATTCAAAAAATAAGAGCTATTTCTGAAACATCTCATCCTTCCCTGCCCTATAATCTAGTGTCAAAGATGACGGACTTGCTATAAAATGGCATTTTATTTAATTTTCCTGTCTGTAATAATAGTTTCAACCAGGAAAGGAGAAGTTATTGACGCCATCATTGAGTAAAAAAAAAAAAAAATACACAAAGTAAGCACGTTATATATAACCATAACAACGTTTTATTACCATTAAGACTAAACTTGTATTGAAAAGATTTGATATAACAAGACAAGAAAAAGCAATAGCAAATTTTAACTATCAACTAGATTATGCATAGCGAGTAACTTTTCCTAGTACTCAGGGAAGAGCAGAACATTTTTTATTATGTTTTTTTTTTTTAAAATATAGAACGGTACAGAGCACAAACATACTAAAATTATCAGTGCACTGGATGTGGGAGAGCCGATTCTTCCTTCCACTTTTAGCCCATAGCTCTGTTCTTGTATCCATCAGAAGAACATTAAAATAAAGACCCAGTTTTTTGTTGTGTTGTTGTTGTTTTTTTTTGTTTCTACTGTGCAGTAAGAAAAATTATTCACGACAAACATGACAACATATCAAACAATATTTCTACACAAGATACCTTGATACGCTTGTCAATCAAGTATTATAAGAAAAACATTTTAAGACATATACAAACAGAACTAGCAAAGGATTACAACTTAATAATAAATTAACAGAAATAAAAAAAAATAACTTTATATATATATATTTTATATTATATATACACGTACACACACAAGAAATGACACAATATGCTTCTTCCCATAGTTTAAGTAAACAAATAAATAGGAATAGCCAAACCTGCTATAATTGATATTGGCCAAAATGCATTACATCAGCAATTAAATAAATACGTGTTGCAAGCAACATAAAAACAGTGTTTTAAAATGTGCCAACGCAGCCCAGTTATATTGGATTGGGCCATAAAGTGAACTCGAAAAAACTCTTTAACAAATTTAAAGCAAATGTTTCCTTTTATTATTCTAAACACATTACATTTAACTATGATACTAAGATATGTAAATGATTTTGTAGCACCTACAGCTCAAACTAAGGAAGTTGTTGCCCCACCCAAAAAAAAAAAACAACAAAAGTTCTCTTTTGTTCTGCTGATACCCTATACTGATGACTTAAAGAAAAAAAATTGTCTTGCAATGCACCTCTTGCTTGATTTGGGTTTTTGACTGTGTGGGTTGGGGGGGGGGGGGGGACCTGTGTACAACACTCTCCCTCGCTCAATAGAATTGTTTGCATTAGGCTATGAAAAGATACGAAGACCAACTGTTTGTAATCCTTCTTTCAAAAAACATTCTACTAATCCAATTTAAAACATATCTTGTTCTCTAAAAAGTTACCAGTGCAGTATGAATGACAAAGTTGTCAATTTTCCCCTAAATTAGCCAGTCAAAATATTATTTTATTTTTTTCAAATCCAGATTCTCTTGTAAAAATTCTTTATATTTTATAAAAATAGATTTTTCTGGAAACCCATTTTCAGCAAAGAGACAAACTCTTTGGCAACATTGTTCGCTTATTTAAATTGTTTTGCGTCATCAGGTGATCTGACCTTAGCTGTCCCCACAGGAATCTCCTTTCAATACCAAGTTGAGAAACAATACAATTAAATGCAAAAGTATTTTTTTGTTCCCTTTTTGCACATACTTACCATATTGTTTCTATATATATATATATATATATATATATATATATATATATATATATATATATATATTGTATATATATACATATATATACATACATACACATACCCTTTGAGTGTCAGAACCTTTGCTACATTCCCACACTAAAAGGGCTTTTGGAAAGGAGGGGGGAGCAGGTCACCAATCTGAAAAGGTCTCATCTTATGAACAGAAAAGAAAGCTGAGAAAGAAAAGAAAAAAACTTTTTTTTCTTTTCTTTATTGTGTTACATTTGTAAAAATTGTTTTTATTTTTTCAAGTTTTTTTAATTATTTTTTTTTAATTTTTTAATTCTTCAAATGAACTCATGGTCATCTTAAAAACAGCCACCTTCAAAGAAGGCGTAAAACTAGCCGGCTGGGTTAAAAAAAAGCCCTGCTCATTGTATTCTATGTATATTATATTCAACGACGACAGCTATGAAAGAACATTCAATGCATCAAAGTTTTTTTGTTATTTTTCTTTTTTCTAAGCATTATAAAATCCTTTCTGGTTTATCACAGGATATCCAATGGTAATACTTAGGCAACACTGGCTTATAAAGTCCATGGTTGGTTATAAGCCATTTATAGTCTGTTTTTTTATTTTTTTTTTCATTATATTGTTCATGAACAGAATTTTTTTAGGTCGATGTGGACTAGAAATTCAAGACTTGTGGGTTTTGTTGGTTTTAAAGGAAACTTGCAGAACTCTGTCTCCCAGGCGATATCCATTAAGGCTGGCGATAGCCATAGCTGCTTCATCATAATTGGTCATTGTGACAAAGCCAAATCCCTTGCACTTGTTGGTGTTAAAATCACGGATGACTTTGACGTTGTTGACTGCCCCAAATGGGCCAAAAAGCTGCCAAAGGACACTCTCATCTGAGTCGGGAGAGAGGTTGTAAACAAAGATACACCATCCGGTACCCGTGTGCCCAGGGATGTTCATTCCAACCAAGCTTGTCATTCCATCAATAGTGATTGGAGAAAACCTAAAAGGAAATGGAGAAAACAGATATAAGTAAAGTCATAATAAACAAGTGGTAGAAATAGAGAAAGAAAAATGGTTTAAACATTTATGAAATGGTTCTACAGATGGAAAAATGTATAGTAATAGCAACAACAATATACATAATCCATATTTTAATTCAGCCCACATATTATAAATTTACTTTTTTATACAATTTAAGATACTATAAGTGTTTTGATAGGTTTCTTATATAAATAAATTGAGGCAAATACAATCAATAGGTTCAGGCACATGAGCTAGTATTTTTAACAAATTATTTCAGGTAGCTATCAACAGGACTCACAAAAGAAAGATTTGATTGGCCAGAAGTGGGTTACATCTATGCCCTGGATTTTGTTCTTCCAAACGGATTTAATTTTAATTAGTATTTTTTCACCCAGGTTCTTGAAATATTGAAATAATGAAAAAACTGGACATAATTATTCTAATGTATTCCTAGCTCAATAAGGTAGCAAAGGCATTTAATATTCAGGGGATAACAAGCCTGATATAAGTCAGGCTTTGACAAAATGTAACTTTCCAGCTGCAATATTTAACTAATAAATTACCAACTTTCACACAATTAATTTTTTTTTTTCAATTTAGAACATTTCTTATATTTTATTCCTTAACGTGTTGGTATGAAGGTTGGATTCCATATTGAAAGACACATATAATAAAAGAAAATATCACTTAATTTGTCATTTAATAGAGACACTGGCCTTGTAATAAAGTGCTTGTGAAGGCATAAAAGAAACCAACCAATATATAAAAGGTGAAAGTCATTAAACCTGCAAATGAAAGAAAGCTTTCAGGCAGTTAAGGCATCCACAGCTATACGGATCATTTGTTTTCATCAGAACCAGATACTGGGGCCATTTGTTATGTTGAGCTGCTGAGATGGACCTTTTATTTTTCAAAAATGCCAAGAATAACTTCAGGCGATAACTGATTTAGTAATGATTTACTGAATGTAATTTTACTCATCTAGACTTCATATAGATGTCTTACTGTACATTTATTCACTATGGTCATCCAAAAATACCATGCACATGCCTAAAATTGTGTTTGATTAATTAATTACAGGATGGCAACACTGACAACTGACACCGATATCAAACTGTTGTCCTCCCAAATCACTTTTGCTAGCATCAGTTGACATCTAACTACTTTGCTATTTCATTATTATTAAACAGTGACACAGTGGTCCTGGAAAATTTGATAGAGCTGCCCCTCCTCATATGCCATGCCCTGGCAGACCTAAATTTGTTGCATATGCCCCCCCTCATATGCATTGATTCTGCAGATCTGAAACACCCGAAATCACTGGGCTTAAAAGTCAGAAAACAGGTTTTGATGTGATGGGTCATGCTTGTCCTCCAAGTCAATTACAAAGATTCCTCCCCAAAAGGCAACTGAAATTGCTCAATTTCTCATTTGAATTTTTGCCAATTATAAGTGGCATTGAGAAGTCACATGACCTAGGGGAAGGGTGTTACATTGAACATTGGACTTGGAAGGAAAGCAAAGCAAGAGAACTGAATGTTGCACCAGAACCTGCTGTCAGCAGTGAACAGCTTTCATGAAAATGTTCAGTTATCTATGAAGAGGTAGAGTAATATTATTATTATTATTCAGGATTTACATAGCGCCAACAGTTTGCGCAGTGCTTTACAACGTGAGGGCAAACGGTACAATACAATTCAATACAATACAGGAGGACTGCATTGTTGGGATTTTTTTGGCATGCTGGGCTCACTCTTGAAAGAATTAAACTACCAGAAGGTGTCCCAATAGAACTGCCCCGTATGCTGTATCCTAAGACTTCTTGCCTACAAATAGTCAGCTGATAGATGACAAATCACACATGCCATGGCCGATTGCCAATAAGATGGATGTATTAAACTTTGATTTATTTAGAGTCATGTTTTACGGACAGATGATGAGTCATTAGGCCTGTTTTTTTTTCTTTTGGTCCGTACATCTTCCAACTGTTGTAAATCTGATGTTTAGTAGTGGATTCATTTCCTTTGGCAAAAGTGCTTAATTATTCCACTTATATAGGGTCATATTTCAGTTACAGATCATGAGTCATCTGCACTGTTTAAGTTTTTGCTCTTCTAACTGATGTAATATTGATGTTTAAAGGTGGATTATATTCCCATGGCAATAATATTGCTTAGGAAATTCCATAAAACTCATTCCATTTTTAGAACTTTTTGGAAAAATCTTAATTTGCAAGATAAGCCTGTTACTGGTTTATCATGGTGTTGTCCTGTCTCTTAAGGCAGTGGATGTCATTTACCTATATTAAAATGCATGTGCATGTGTATTTTTTTTTTTCTTGGATAGAGTAGGGAAGAGTTTAAACCGCTGTAATTTTTTTCATGTCTGTGTATCATTGGGAAATATTTCTTCACTTCCTGTCCCAGAGAAGCAACAGGAAGTTAAAGGAAATCCCCAAAAGTGGGAGTAATTCCTCTCCAAAACAGTTGTTCTTGAAACATATGTCTCCATTGTAAGACTGCCCCTTACCGCTTGTTCTGGGAGCACAATTTGCATTTCCCCAATTTTCTTTCATGGTGACTATAATCACCAGTATACATAGATAGATGAATCTGCCCAATGGGGATACAGACAGCAATAAAAACGTTACAGAGGGTATAACCCTTTTCCACTCTATCCCAAACAATAAGAGGTTTTGTTTAGAGATACATGTGAATGTACTTTACACGTGAATGTACTAAAACAAAACTGGGAGACCCCAAATCCGTACAAAATAAATTTGGAATAGGTGATTGTTGACTCTTAAAACTTAGATTAAATTTGGAATAGGTGACTGACTTAGATTTTATTTTTAATCAGTGTAGCTTGTATACCTTAACTGCTGCTGTAGCCCACCTGTGGATAAAAACAAAATGGTGAAAAAAATGGAACCACACAATACACTGACGTCCTTAGAAAAGTAAAAATCAACAGAAGTCCCAACTCAAAAGAACAGAATCTTGCATGCTGGTGGGAAAAAAAGGAGCAATTAAACAAACACAAATAAAGTTAGTGAATTAAAAAAAAATAACAAAATAAACAGAAAAGAAATAAATTATAGCACCAATCTGTGCCAACATGGACATCTGGCATTCTGTAAAATTCTAATTACCTCTTAACGCCATAGGCCATATTAAGCAAATTGTCCAGCCTGAAAGAGAAGGAGTGTCTTTGGGTTAATGTCTTACAGATGGTAAGAGAGCTCAATGGAGCCTTTATTAATGACGTCCCTTTTCAATAGAAAGACAAATCTTCTAACACTTGATTAGCTGCTGGGCGGTTTAGCCTGTAGGAGTCAATCAAGCAGCATTTCATACATTGAAAAACCTCCAGAAATGTAACAGCCTGCCTTTTAACTTCTCTACTCAAATACTGTGGACAGGAACAGATGCTGTACATAGGGCTTAAAGTGCACCTGTAGCTCTGGAGAACAAAATACACTGCACAGTAGGCAGGTATGGCACTATTTTTTTTTATAATAATTCAAACATTTCAATCATATTTCAAAGGACAAATCTTAGTCCTCATATACCAAGTTCCTCCTCATACCATATCTCACCCCTCACACCATTAATTGAAAGTTGGGGTAATGCAAAGGTACCAAGCAATTGCAGGTGCCTTCTACACAATGCAAATACCACTCTACTTAGTATATAATGCACACAGGTGCACCTTAAACACTGTTAGGGTTGGAGGACACACCAATTGCAAAGCCTGATACCAAAAGTATTGCCATTCAGCAAGGAGCAAAGGACTTGTATAATGAAAGTTTGAATTTCCTTAACAGCATAAGAAAAAAATATATCTGACATCTGATTGACTGAAATGCAGAAACTTAGCATTGCTCTGAATTTAAAGCTTCCACAAATATATCCTCCATAAATAGCAAGTATTTCATAATGACAAGGCAGGAGGGGTGCCATGTGTTTTTAGGGATCCAGCAGCATATCAAGATTGTGGTGTGTGTGTGCAAGATTTGCTTATTCTTAATAAACATTAAACAAACTTTAATCCTAGCTCTACCTGACCTTTGTAGCTACAGGCATTGTGGAGAAGTTCATTCTCAAAGTTCACAAAAGAAGCACTGAATGTATCCAAGCTGTTCCCTCAGCAGCTCAGCTCACCCTGCTTTTCCATCCCAGAGCACTTGGTCTGTGTTAACATTAGAGAATAGATGTCTGCTGAGTCGCTGCTGGGAGAAAGCGCTGGGAGAGCTGCTGAGAAAATGACATGGATATCCTCAGTGCTTCTGATGTGAATTTTCAGTATTAATTGCTTCCCCGCAATGTCTGCAGATAAAGAGGTGAGCATTTTTAAGGGTATGCAAATATTTAAAAGTCTACAGCCCGACCATAGGTCCCCTTAAGTTTTTTCACCTTATGATATCTTCTTTACAGAGTACTATTAAAGTGAAATCTCTATAAGAGTATTGCCTTGGACCTAGCAATATTTTAAAGGATCACTGTACTTAGGCCCCTTTCACACGAGCGGACCGATGGGGTCTGCCTGTCCGTTTTTCAGGCAGACTCGATCGGTCCATCCATATGGACCAGCAGATGTCAGCAGACAATAGTCCTGTGTGCCAAAAAAAGACAGATGGGGATCCATTCCCAATCCATCCAGCGGATCGGATGACAATCAGGTGGAAACGGACAGGTGGTCCGTTTCTATCCGACTGTCCCATTGATATCAGCGGGCAGTGTCTGTATCTGTACCTGTCATCCGCCTGCTCAGCGGGGACCAGCAGAGAGATCCCCCATTGAGCAGGCGGATAATGCTGACGGATCTGCCCTGTATGAAAGGGGCCTTAAAGTTGAATAATATAAAAGAGTTTTTTAACAACAATCAAGAATGAAAATGTAAAGACAATATCAGAACAAGTGATGTTTAAAATGAGTGAAATGAACAAAAAACAAAACAAAAAACCCCAATAAAAACAAAAGCCTTTGGTTTGACATACACTTTAAACTTCACTCATTTTTTTAAACTTTAGAATGGTGAAGACCTAAATTTCCATCAGGTTTTCATTTTTGCAATTGAAAAGATATTACCCTGCCCCTTTGACTCCAGTACAAATAAACATGAGTGTTAAAGGTTATTGCTGAGAAGACAAAAACAACCAAAATACAGAAGCTCTAAGCCTTCCTCCCGCTTCTAAAAATTCACTTTTGTCTCCATTGAAGGAATTGAAGATTACATTTTGCCCTGACAGGGGTAATATTCCACTAGGGACCAAAATGGCATAAAACACTTGACACAGATTTTGAAGCTTCCATGCTCTACATAAAACAAAATAAAAAGTAGGTCCAAAGTTAGGCTTTAAGACTCTGTGTAATTACTCCATTTGTCTGAACCAAGAAAAAAATACTCTGGTCCCCATTATGCAAAAAGGAGCATTCTTCAATATACCAGAAACTAGACTATTTATTGGTTACTTCCCTTTTAAAGTGGTTGTAAACCTTAAACATGAAATATGAACAAATAGTGTGTACTTGTCTCAATTAAGAGCACTAAGGGCTCGTTCACACTTGACTGTTTTTCCAACTCTTGCCAAACGCCCCTATAGCGTTTGACAAGCGTTGGTCCAGCATTTGCGGAGCATTTTTAACACTCTGCAAACGCCGCAAGCGTCGGTTGCTAGGCATTTGCCAAGCGTTAAAAATGCCCCACAAATGCCTATAATGAAGTTTGAATGGTGTTAACGCTCCGCAAATGCCCCGCATGTGCGTCGCAACCGCACCGCAAACACCGGCCGGACGTTTGCGGAGCGGCACCATAGACTTGAATAGGAGGCTTCAACTCCTCCTGACTCGACCAGAGGCGTCCGTTTTGCCGCAAAGCGACGCTAACGCTCCCGTTTGAACAGCACCATGTGCTTCAATGTGCAGAATTTTCCCAGGCGTTTGGGAAATGGTAAAAACGCTTCCCAAACGCCTGTCTACTGCTTGCTAACAAGGCTAGTGTGAACGTAGCCTAAGTGTCATTTCTGTCTGCTGCTTCATTCCTCTGCTATCAGCATGAATGATGTCTGACAAGTTTTCCTGACACCAAGAGAAAATTGGTGATGGGGAGGGAGCTCCAGCAGATTGACAGCCTCAGCTCTGTTCCTGTGAGCTCTGTGGAGGGGGTGTGTCTCTTTCCTCCAATCAGCTCTCAGAGCTCTCCTTATTGAGCTCTGCAGAGTGTAAATTCAGCTCTCTGCCCCCTTTTTCCTGAACTCTCAGACAAGCTTTGTAAATTCAGCGTTTGAACGGATATAGAGAAAAGGCTGCAGACAGAAAGGTACAACTTATGTAGGAGGATTTGTTTCATTTACATGTATCACTTGAAGCCAGTCACTTCACTGGGTATATGTGAAGGTTTACAACCACTGTAAAGTAGAATAATTATCATTGGTTATATACAATCATTGGTTATATTTAGTGATTTCAGCAGCTCTTCATTTTATAACAATATCTTGATTTTCTATCGGACCATTTTACAATGCAAACTCAGAGCCCATTTAAAATGTAAAAGGAGTGCAAAGACTGACACCAGTTCTGCCATCACCTTGTCTATCTCTTCATGTAAGCTCCAAAATGTTAATTCCATGTAATGCTTGGGATGTTCCCTGATCGACAGCAAATAATGCTTCATCCGCCTGGGACCTCACCTGTCAGAATCGAGATGGTTTAGGCAGTAGAAGTCTGCTCCGATTTTTGGAACAGAATCAGACTAAAGGATGTTACATTTTTGGAAGGTCTAAAGAGGGATTTGTGAGGTGGGGGGAGTAGAGATGTCACCAAAAATAGTTTTGCATTTAGAAGAAGGCAAGCAATAATTAATCTTTTTTTCCTAGCACTGCACGCACAGATATTAAAAAATGATAGCTCGTAAAAGATTTCAGCTTCCAAGCACTGCCTAGCAGCCCTGTGAAGCACCATGGGAGCATATTGGAAGGAAGCTGATCAATACCTTCTGAAACTTGGCAAAAGATTAGTTCTCAGCCTTGAATAAAATAGGCCTTTGAGCAGTTTTGAGTGAATAATCAATCTATCTTACACAGAGACGAGGAGACATCCTCGCTTACACCATATTACCCCTTTACACTGGAAAAAATGAGCTACTGGCCTATCTGGCATCAGCAGAATTAACACTTGCCCTGCCACTGTGAAGGACAGTCAGTCTATTCACTCCAGAGAAGAAATTGGCTTTTCCACCACCTGACACCACATGAATATTACCTTTCTATTGTATATGCTGTGCGAACCCAGACGTTGCCACCGCCATTTACATATTTTCTAGCCAGCCGTACAGTAAGCAATCTCTTACCATAAAGATAAGCCAGCTAGCCAACAAATCAATGTCTGAAGATACAGATATCAGCATAAACAAAGCCGTGGTCTGCTGCTGCATGTCTTGCCTGCGCACAAACAGGAGTTTTCTTATTGTGCACAATGAAATTAAAGGCAGACAAAAGCAGAACAAATTTTCTTTCCAATACAATAAAGATTGATGCCACCATATGACATTCTCTGGACGTGTGCGTGCCAAACATTCTATATGTGTAATGAGCATAAAAAAAAGGAGCTAACCTGACAAACTGATGTGTTTTAAGAACAAATCAGTGCACAGCAAGTAAGATTAGCCAAGCTAGACAAAAATATTTATTTCACTACAGCACCACAATTCTGCAGGGTTGAGTTTACAAAGATTACCCTCTTAAAAAGTGTTGTTGTTGTTGTGAGATCAAGATGACAGTGATATTATGCCATGTTCCTCAAACAATCTGATCACTAGACAGGCACAAAAGTAGGTAAGATTTGAAGTTATATTTAAAATAATTTACCAAAAAATCAGTCAAACAACTTAACTATGTGGCTTCATGTCAGTGCAAGAACACAGCTTTTCTTGGACAGGCAAGTGATGGCGTCATCGTGGTGTGCCCACAATAAAAACTAATTTAGGAACTTCAGGATCTTCCATGTTCATTTCCATTGGCCAAATGGAGTTTCCAATACCTTGAGTTATGAGAAGTCTCACAAAGCAACTGAAAAATGTATGGAGGTCCGCAATCTTCCTATAGTGACATAGTGTTAATGATACCTCCAGCCCGATTCCTACTTATTGGTCTAGAAGCAATACCTTCCACACACTACAGTAACACCGTTACCTCTATAAATTATATATATCATTCCACAAAAAAAACAAGATTGACTGAAAGGTTAACCAATTTTGCAACTAAACCCTAAAAAGTATGCTTCTCTAGAATGGATGTTATCATATATGATGAACTGAGTTTTTACACAACATTTTTAGCCATGAGTTGGTCACATGTACATATTGGTCACCCATTTAATACTAGTCTAAGTCTCTTAAACTGTCTATCTGTTTTTAATTTCTTAGTTAATAGCCATTTATTCATTTAGTCTAAAGCACATTTTTGAGAAGAGGATTTCCAAAGTAGTTATTTTAATTAATTCCACACTTGGAAATGATTCCATAGAGTGCATTGATAATTACCTGAACCTCTGTGCCTGGTGGTGAAGAGGACCTGGATAACGTCTGTTGGGGGACTGATAGAGCTGGGAGAGCAATGCTTGGCTAGTTTTCTGACTAGGATTGTTGGCAAATTTCACAGTTATTGGTTCACTTGCTCCACTTGGCTTTTGTCCGTTCAGGCCCTTTATGGCTTCCTCTGCCTCTATTCTCTTGTCAAAGCGGATAAATCCGACTCCCCGAGACACACCTGTAAGAAAGACATTATGAATTTATTAGTACAAGCCTAAATATACATGTTTCCTATGCTTACATTTATTAGTGCAAAAACAAAATGAGCTTCTAAAAGGCAGGCTAGATAAACTGGGAGTAGAATTTGGATTGCTCATGTTCAGCTTCATATATCTGTAGAGATCTCTTGTTTGTACAATTCATTGCCATCCTTAGCTAATTGAAAATTAGTTTACCTTCTCTATCACTTGTCTAGTATTTTAATGGAGCTATAAGGTAACTTCCTTCAAAAGAACTAGCGCCCGGATAAGGCTGGAACCAATATATAATGGGGGGCAGTATAATGAGTGGTAAGCCAAACAAAAGGAACCAGTAAACTCTCCAAAAAGCCTTGGTGGTTAATGGAGCATTTATCAAATATTTTTTGAAGAAGGCAGTATGAAATAAAAAAAACAACTTTTTCCTTAAAAAGTTACCATTTCTTTGTGGAACTCTGAGCTTCAGGAATGATGGTTTAATGATTACTTCATTTATCAGTTATGGTAATTTTACTTTAATGTTGACATATTAAGAAGATAAGAAACAGTTCCATAAAAGTTCAGTCCAGGGAGATATAGAACAAAGCTAATGTTTTACCAAACAGTAAAGTCAGGCTTCGGGGACTAGCCCAACCTAGCTGGCTTCATTACCTTTATTAGACTTATGTTTCTTGAGGAAGATGGTAGATGTATGGTATCCACAGAGCAAGGCTTACAGTATACTGACAAGCTATAGTTAAAAATTAAGCCAAGGCTATATTTGTGGGACTATGTAAAAATATATGGATAAGTATAACAATACTGGCACAAACTGACTTTCTGAAAACATTTTTTTACATATTTTTTAAAATTATATATCATAGATAGAGAACATCACGCTCTTCCTTTTTTTATTTCATAGAAAAAAATACCCCTCACTTTCACTACAATTGCAGCGAAATATAAATTGTATTTGGATGGCTTGTGGCATCAGGCCTGTATGATAGGAATTGGAAATTTGGAAATAGCACATTTTAAAGCATTTTAAACCCCATCCCCGCAGCACATAGTTAACATTTCTTACCTTCCCTGCCATCCTATTCAGTTGCTGGTAGTAAAGAACATACTAGGCACTTCTGAATATGGAGACGCATGTGACTTATTCTATGTGCTGCTGGCCAATTACCAAGCACCAGCATTTTCACATGGGAAAAGACCATAGCCCAGTGTAAGCTATAACTTTAGAGTCTCATGGCCTAATTAAAATCAGTTTTTCCTGCCTCAGGGATCTGGGGATGCAAAGTACAGGTAAATATGTGCTGCTGGGGAGGGGGATGTTACTGTAAATCTGTTGGTTTGTTCTTCATGGGCAAAGCACAGGTTCACTTCAAAGATCACTTGTCACCATGACATATTTTGATAGATGTATATAAAGGGGTTAAATTATGTTTTTAATTCTTAGTACTAGCCCACCTCTTCTGATTTTATAACATACCCAAACCTGGACTGTATCATGGAAATGTTTTGAACTGGGAATTGAAACAGAACCTTCGTTTTCCGCCACGAAGATCTCTTCCCCCAATGTTCCCCAGCCAGTTTGATTTTTTAATAATTACTCAATTAATCAGTAATCATTGTATTCTTCTGTCCAGGAAAGCTCACCACACTCCCCCCCCCCCCCGGGCAAAACACAATAGCGCTGCATGAAGCATTCCCCCATCAACACTGACTGTGTTGATTGGAGAATCTATCAATTTTCCACCCATGGTGGAAGGAAAGAGAATAGATTAATCTATAGCTTACTTTACTGATGTGCAGACTGATAGAGCTATGCATTTGATGCACAACCAAGTGGGAATCCCTTGTTTGAACTTCCACCAATTTCCAAAGGCAAGAGTGTGAGTGTTTCAACATTTGTGGAACCATCTTATAACAGTGCGTACCTGTAACTTGATCAACTAAAATTCTTGAGGTGATGATACGTCCATACTGTGAAAATAACTGTTCCAGCTCTTTCTGCGTCATTGTTTTTGGAAGGCCGCTAACATACAAGTTAGCATCACGGATTGATGCGGAACTGGGACGGGCATAGGAAACCTGGTCAAAAAGAAGAGAAATGTTTGTAATCAGGTGTTTCTATAATGTAAAGTCTCCTATGGAACAAAACACAAATGAAAAAAAAAAAGATTTGGTCTAAACAGAAAACAATGTCTTTATTAGTATTAACTTTATTAATACTATAGACGTTTTGATGTCTAAATACAGTAAACTGTTTAAATATAATCTACATATTTATCTAATTTTCTAAAGCTGGGAGGGGCAGTAATAAGGTAATAATATGCAAATAAGTGGATCTTATAAACTATTCTTCTAGAATAATCTGCAAGGAGTGCCTTCTTGACGGTAAGGTCAATGGATCTTAAAGGAAACCTGTATTGACAGAAACAAGTAGGCTGCCATTAATGCCCTCCTACAAATTCTGGTTGCCTGACTTTGTCTGAATTCAGTACTTTCCAAGTAACTGACAATGAAAAGCCTGTAGCCAGTGAAGGCAGAACTTCTAATGTGTATAGTTTTATCAACTACCATCTCAAAAAGTTTTGAAACCATATAGTCAGCATGACAAGCAGGCAGTTAGTTAACTTAATATAAAAGACAAAATCACCAAAGCCGAAATACCAATATGTCTGACTTGCTTATGGCAATCAACGAGCATCCATCCTTTCATGTTTCTTTACATGTTTTTTTTCAAATAGTTGGGATCACAGAGACCATTGTCCTCAGATATGTTACTTGTTATCTTAAACATCTCTTGGATGTGTTATGTGGATCTCCTAGTACAGATGTTGGTATCACTTATAAAGTCTTTTGAAATGTTACATCACATACAAGCAACTTGTTTCAGTAGAAAAGGCCTCCCTCTACTTCAGGGACTGAGCAACGAATGTTAACATAATCAAGATGGAAAGCAGTAGACCTGAACTAAGGCTTAATGGAAACTACATTTCAACCCAGCAAGCAATCCATACTGATGAACTCACAGCATAATAGTGCAGAGTGCCGACATCATAATATTAGTGCTGCTTTCTGCATCAGTGAGGAAAAAAACAATGACACTATCATACATCCCAGGAGTCTTCATGTGGGGGGGGAGGTTCTCAGCTAAGCCCACTCTCCAGTCTGCATGGCTGCCTGAGCTAAGAACAGATGGAATCAGGTAAGTAAATGCTACATTAATTATTACTCAAGATGTCCATGGCCAGAAAGGCTAGGGTGTGGTTTTCAAAGTGATATATTAACAAAATAAGGCATGAAGACATAGATGAATGGGGGAGTTTGCTTTAAATATTAAAAATGAATTAAATATTTGGTTTGTAGTGCTCAGATGTAGTGTAGTTCCATTTGAAAGGGTAAGTTCACCTTTTTGGAATATGCTACATGTTCCATCCATATTTAGGGTTGAACATGTAACATGTTCCAACAGCTGCAGACTCTCCCCCTCCCCCCCGACCCTGCAACAATGAGTAGGGATCTTTTCCCAGTGCCCACTGTCACTATTTTAAAATAGCTCCGCACGGCTGCGTCATTCATTCAGAGTTTCCTGTGAATGACTTGAACTACAAGTACCGTCAGCCTTTGTGGTTGATGGCTTGTAGTTCTATATGGACTGCAGGGTCGCTGCTGTTCATTCACAAGCCCTGCTGGTACAGGCTGAAAGCTGCAGGACTTGTCTGTATGAGTCTGGCATTGCACCCCTGATCCACTGATTATGGATGCAATGCTTTCCAGGCTTCGTAGGGAAAAAATAATAAATGCAAATTTTTCTTCCTGTACAAATATGTGCATTTATTATTTTTTCCCAAATGGTGAACTTATCCTTTAAGCCAGTGTTTCTCAACCCTTTTTCAGTAAGGCACCCTTAAAATTATGGACAATTTCAAGGCACCCTCTAAAATTATGGACAGTCCTGAGGCACCCTTTAAAATTTTGGAAAGTCTTGAGGCACCCCATTCTAAAATGTAAAAAAAACTATTCTAATAATTTTATATAATGCAACAACATCCATACATGTAGGACACCCAACACTAGAGGTGATTTATTCTTCCAAAGCAATTAAACTTTTGCACTTTTACTGATACTGTCTAGTATTCCAGTGTTCCTCACTCTGTCACTCAGCTAATGTGACCCCAGCACTGATCTAGAGGGGCAGGGGAGGGTCAAACAAAGATCATGTGCAGGTAACCGACATCCTCCTTATCAACTGATGATGTCATTGGCTGTTAGGGTGCTGGCGGCTGGAAGGTCATAATGGCGCACATTGAAAACTTGTGGCTTTGTGTAACAAAAATGTAGGCTTGTTCCTCCCACTGTCTTGTATACAAGTTTTGGGCAATTTTTAGACATTTTGCCAAGTCATCCCTGAAGAAAGCTCAAGGCACCCCAGGGTGCCTGGGCACCCTGGTTGAAAAATGTTGCTTTAAGCTATAGAGTGGGGGATGCTTTGGGGAAAAGAGCATAAAGAGTAGGCTACAAAAAGGTTGACTTTTTGTTATATCATAGTACCATAAATAACATACACAATCCATAACTCATTCATTCATTTGGGACTTTCAAGGGACTCTGATTAATAAATGTTTGTCTTGCCACAATATAACAGTAGAGCATTTTGGTGGGGGCCTGTCTTTTTTCTTTATATTATTTTAAAGTTTGTAGTTGGGTCCCAGTCTGCACACTCAGTGGTGTGGTACACCATATAGTGGTTGGGCATTTTGGTGGGGTTCCTTTCTTCTTTTCATTGTTTTAAAGTTTGTTGTTGGGTCCCAGCCTGCACACTCAGTGGTGTTGTACACCATATAGTGGTTGGGCATTTTGGTAGTGGCCCTTTCTTCTTTATCATTGTTTTAAAGTTTGCAGTTGGGTCCCAGTCTGCACACTCAGTGGTGTGGTACGCCATATAGTTGTTGGGCATTTTGGTGGTGGCCCTTTCTTCTTTTCACTGTTTTAAAGTTTGTAGTTGGGTCCCAGTCTGCACACTCAGTGGTGTGGTACACCATATAGTGGTTGGGAATTTTGGTGGTGGCCCTTTCTTCTTTTCATTGTTTTAAAGTTTGTAGTTGGGTCCCAGTCTGCACACTCAGTGGTGAGGTACACCATATAGTGGTTGGGCATTTTGGTGGTGGGCCTTTCTTCTTTTCATTGTTTTAAAGTTTGCAGTTGGGTCTCAGTCTGCACACTCAGTGGTGCGGTACACCATATAGTGGTTGGGCATTTTGGTGATGGCCCTTTCTTCTTTTCATTGTTTTAAAGTTTGTAGTTAAGTCCCAGTCTGCACAGTCAGTGGTGTGGTATACCACATAGTTTCTGAATAGGAACACAGCAAAATTCGAAGGCTAGGCCCAATGTACACAGCAAACAAAGATTTGTGAACAGGAAGTAATAAAGATGAAAATAAAGAGCATACAACAATTATAGGTGCACGTGTTAGAGAGGTAAACATCTACCGAGGGGCGGACTGACAACTCATGGGGCCCCTGGGCAATAGGGGATCATGGGGCCCCTGTGTCCTTGCCCAAACTCAAAAAAAACCTATGAAAAAGGTACCAGGGGCATCTCATGGGACCCCCTACTGACCCCAGGCCCTCGGGTGGTGCCCGAGTTTCCAAATGGTCAGTCCGCCCCTGCATCTACCTTATATGGCTACAGATCCTATAAGCCCAGACTGTGTACTGTAACTATGTCATCCATCCAAAGACCTAGATCATCAGTGTTATTTGACTCTCTTTCTGTGTATTAAACTGCTAGACAGATCTAATAAAATCTTAGATATTTCCCATAATCAAAGGCCTTTGTAGCATTTCTGATGTGCAAGAGTCCCCTAAAAGACATTTAATCCACCACCAACTGCAAAACGATCGTCTTCCTTCTTTATCTGATCCGTGTTTTAAAAATAGCTGTTGACTCAACACAGAAAATGTGACTAATGTGAGATTCAGCAGAATGGATAAAGAAAGACAAACTTGCAGTTTTGCGTGATTGGCTGAATGTGGGTCTTCTAGTTCAATGCTCCTAGTAACTGTAAATATTGCTTGTAAGACTCAGTCCTAGAAACATGTATTTCAAATGTCATTTGTAGGTCAAAAAATGCTTTGCAACCTCAGCTGCCAGTCTGCAGGATTTACAGAAAATGCTGGATGGCAACCAAAGCCTCAAGCGTGGATGGGGTTAAATTCATGTCTATAAGCTATTTTGTTAGCCTAAATAATTCTTCCATGCAGTGGAAATGTTTAGCTAATGAGAAGTACATTTTTTCCATGCACTTTCAATCCCATTTCTTCTCCCCAAGAGGCGGATTTGCATTGAAAGTACAGGAGACCAAATCTGGTGCAATTTTTATGGAATTTTCTGAATAATTTCAACACAAATTGCAACCTTTTTATGACATTTTAGTTGCATATTAAAAATGAACTTCAGTCAAAAACAAAAAGAAAATGTCTTTTCATGCAATTATGCTTGGAATGTATATCTTTTCCTACCTGTGAAGCCCTTCATTTATTGTGAAGTGATTCTCACAAGCTATGTAGTTAATTTTCTCTGACAACGGGGCCTGCATTCTTTTTTATCTTACTTTTATTTCTCTGAGCAGTCACCCCCCAGGCTTCTAAATTCAGGATGAACTCTTAAGCACTTACCCCAAACTTAAGACTATCAAGCTTTAGTCTATCAGACAAAAATCAACAAAATATAAAAAAAAGAATAAAATATATATCCCGCATATAGAAAATATATTACAGAATAATAAGGAGTTATCCCATTGACTTTGGCAATATGTATGATACTTATTTTCCTTAATAAAGAAAATCCAAATTTTATAAAAAAAAATTTATAGTATTGAAAATATGCTACTTAAAGCGGAACTACACTGTAACTGAGCACCACAAACTAAAAGCCCTACTTTATTAATTTTTAATATTCAAACAAATTCCCCCATCCATCCATGTCTCCAAGCTTTATTTTGCCGAGAAATCACTTTGAAAAACACCCTCTGGCATTCGTAGCCGTCGCTGTCTTGAATAAAGGCAGATGATTCTTGGAGCATTTACTTCCTGGAATCCACCTGCCCTTAGCTCAGGTATGCAGGCAGGAACATGGGCTTAGCTGAGAAAACCTCTCCTCTCCCCTGAAGACTTCTGGATATATGACATAATTTGCCTAGGCATTGAAACTAGGAAGTAGCTAAAGAAATGTAAAAAAAGATTTTAAACGAGTAAATACAACATACTTTCCTATCTATTTACTAGACAATGCTAGCAGTGTAAGGATTCAAAATAGTCAATGTTGATTGAGAGAGTGAAGTTCCGCTTTAAGTTATTTGCAATTTGATCTTTTAAAATTGTCTTTCCATTTCAATCTGCAGACACTGCAGTTTTCTAAAACTCAAAGCATTCAATGCAATATGGCAACCTGGAGTTATTCCATACACTGCTGTATGGAATGCCCAGAAATGCCATTTCCTGCTTCTGTGATTGGCTCATTGATTCCTCACAAGAGCATTATGATGCAAGTAAAATTTTTACATAATTCCTTGAAATTTATTTTTAGTGAATATTTAATGAAACTTTGTCTACTATAGGCATGTAAAACACTGAGAGTTCACCAGCAGATTAAAAAAAGTCTGATTTTCCATGAAGAATCAGTATGAATGGAACGTGGTGAAACAAAACGAGCTTTTTTTTTTGGATAAAAAAGTCACCCCCCCAGGCAAATTCAGGAAACTTTGCAGCCCAAAGTAAGACTATCGGTTTTAAAATCCTTATCATGACAAAAAATCAACAAAAACCCTCATGAAAAAAGAATTTTTTTCCCAACAAAAGTGAGTTATATTAAAGCAATTTGGAGTTCCCATTGACTTTGGCAATATGTATAATACTTATTTTCCTTAAAGAAAATCCAAATCAGGATAGTTAGAAAAAAAATTATAGTATTGAGGAATATTTACTTTCAAAAGCGGAAATAAAGGCTTATAGACAGCTGTTTCATACTGAGCACCTGCTGACAAACTAAAATATGAGCTGTGGGAGTTATTGGAAAATTTTAATATTCAACAAATTCCCCCATTTAGTCCATGTCTCCAAGCTTTATTTTGCCGGAATTTACTTTGAAAAACAACCCCTCTGGCATTCGTAGACCATCGCTATCTTGAATAAAGGCAGATGATCTTGGAGCATTTACTTCCTGGAATCCACCTGTTAGCTTCAGGGATGCAGGCAGGAACATGGGCTTTGCTGAGAAAACCTTCCTCTCCCCTGAAGAGGGATATATGTTTTGCAAGCATTGAAACTAGGAAGTAGCTAAAGAAATGTTGATTTATTAAACGAGTAAACAACATACTTTCCTATCTATTTACTAGACAATGCTAGCAGTGTAAGGATTCAAAATAGTCCCTGTGCTTGATTGAGAGAGTTCAAGTTCATATCCTTTAAGTTATTTGCAGATTGATCTTTTAAAATTGTCTTTCCATTTCAATCTGCAGTGACACTGCAGTTTTCTAAAACTCAAAGAATTTAATGCAATGGCAACCTGGAGTTATTCCATACACTGCTGTATGCTGTTTTGCATGCAATGTTTGCTTCTGGAGCTGGGAGCTCCCAAAGAGGGTCTTTTATAAAAAGTTCAAAAACGAAAATGTGCTCCAAAGCTCAGTGTCTTCCTGGCACTTTAAACAGCATGAGGTCATAAGGTCATGAGCCAGCAACTCATTCTCCCGACAAAAGTACTTTATTAATAAAGGGTACAGTGTGCAAGTTACAGCAGCTTACGCATTTTGGTAAAAATTGGCTGGGAATCATTTTTTTACTGAAATGTATAAGCTGCTGTAACTTGCACACTGTACCCTTTATTAATAAAGTAATTTTATTGGGAGAACGAGTTGCCGGCTATTCACCTTATACTCTCATGTCTTTTTAAAAAAAGGGGTGGTTTTCCAAATAGGTGGTTTTCCAAAAGACCTCTATCTATCCCTTAGGCTGCATTCACACTGGAGCGTTTTGTATCTTGAAGCTCGAAGCTCCAAAAACTATCAAAAATCAATTGTTCTCTATGGTGCCTGTTCACGTGATCAGGTGTGAACAGGCACAATAGAGAACAATTGATTTTTTAAGTTTGAGCTTTTTTGGAGCTTTGAGCTTCAAGCTACAAAATGCTCAAGTGTGAATGCAGCCTAGACCTTACCATGAACTTACACTTAACTCTACCCTCTTCGGAACACTAAACCTAGCCTCTAAAATTATCCTGCACACAAACGCTTAGTCTGCCCCCATAAATGTTAGGTGTATGTTAAGCTAAGTTTCTTTTTCAGTTTTGGATAGAGTAGGGCCTGTCTTTTTTTTCTCTTTCCAGCTTGGGAGATTTCTGTTCACTTCCTGTTACAGAGACACAACAGTAATTAAGAAAAGGTCTCCCTAAAGCAGGATGGGGGGGGGGTATTCCCTCTTAGACAGCTATCACTAGAACAGGTTTACTAATTGGAAGATTTCCACTATCTTCTGTTCTTGTGACTACTAAGAAGGTTTTTAATTCCCACCACGTTCTGTATCAGAGAAAATGGTCATCTTGACCAACAGAAACAGTAAGTCTTCCTAGTGGAGGTACAGACAGCAATAAAACCAGACAAAGGTTCTACCTTTTTCACATTCTTTTTGGCTTTACATACAGTTTAATCCTTAATGAATCCAAATACCCATCCTCACTCTAACGTTTACCTTAACAATTAAAATCAAGACTTTACACGTTATATCTCATAGGCCATATATATCATCACCATAAAGTCATGTGCTGAGATCTCACGGCACCATAATTTCAGTTTCAAAGCTACCAACTTGTTTTTTAGTATACATTTTGTAGATAATAATATGCATAATTTATACACAACAGTAAATTCTCTTTTTGAATATATGAGTTCTAACAAAGATACTTTGGTTTTAGGTTGTTGAACATGTTAAATAAAAAAATAATTACTTTTATACAGAAGTTGATGCTTCTGTGTCCCTAGTTCAGCCCCTCCGAAGGGTTTCATTTCCATCGTTGCCATCAAATGTCACATCAATGTATACTTTAACCAAAAGGACATGAGTAAGATTTTGAGCATGTCAACAAGCATCTTTCTATACAACTAAGCAAAATGTTTTGGTATCGGTATGAAACATTCTACTTTATGAATAGATTCCTTTACAAAGCTTCTAGGTCACAACACTGGCGCTTCAAAGCAAGCCAAATATGTCATACGCCAACTTGTTTTGTTTAAAATGCATCACAAATGTTACCATCTATTATAACATTTAATGAAAGGCGATGAATGAGGAATAGAAAAACATGCTCACCTTGATGGTTTTGGTTTGTAGTCTGAGTCCATTTAAAGTGTTAATGGCTTTTTCTGCATCCTTTGGATCAATGTAATTAACAAATCCATATCCTAGGCTCTGCCCTAGATGGAAAGAGAAGTAGATAAATTGGGAACCAATCATGTTTTCAGTACATGTACAATTTACATAAAACGATCTTTGCCAAGGTCACATCTGGTCTGAAGGTCAAGGAACTTTTTTTAATGATCTCAACAAGCAAACTACAGCTGGCTTCAAAGCTATGAGCTTTCCTTTTCATGTTTTTCAGTGCATGTTTTCATGCATTCACGTGGTAGAACAGCTTGTCATTTTCCAAATGTAACCTGTTATGTTGTTTTTGGTGCCACTCAAAGTACAGATGAAAGCAAATTCCTGTGTCCCAGAACATGGGTGCAGGCTAATCCTGATACCAATCCGGGGGGGGGGGGCTAGTAAATATAAAGAGGAAAGGATCGCTGGTATTCCCAACCAGCCCAGGTGAATAAATGATAAGGAGCAGCATCAGCCTACATGTGGTTCACCAAACCACACACCCTGATGCATTTTGCCTCGCCCACTGGGGCTTAGTCATAGGGTCCCTTAGTTAGCGGCAATCCTTTCCTTTTTATATTTTCCATTTGAAGAGAAAGAACACTTTATATAAATTACAGACATACAGTATATGTAAGTTTTATCTTCTGATCAAAATGCTGATTTAGGAGAAACACATAAACATATCCCTTTGAAGAACACATTAAGATACTGACAACCCAATATGGTGCCTATAGCAGTTTTGTTTGAAATTCCTCTAGCACATTAGTGCTTACATGAATGTACCATGCCATCTATAGGATTACACATGTATTAAAACAACCCTGTTGAATTCTTAAAACATGAAACTAGCAACTTCTTGGAAAGCTAACAGTTTTTTACTACAGTACTTATCCCACTATCTGCACAACTAAACTTCACCACACTGAAGACAGAAGCTTGTTGAAACATCTTCCAAGTGTGTCAGAGGCCTGGTCTCCTCTACACTCTGTGGTTCCTTCCACTGCCCCCTATATCACTACTATATCCTGCAGTGATGAAGGGGTTGGAAGATGGAATCACAAAGCACAGTGGGATATGCCAACATCCAACACTACCAAAATTATCAACTGTAGAAGATGTTTCCCTTTTCTGAGCAGTGGCATTCAGTGGCAAGCGGGCAGACAGACAAGTGTAAACCTTGCGGAGAGCTAATTTCAGGTTTTAGAAACCCTGGCTTTAATGCATTGCAGCAGGAATTCTTAACACTGCTTGTCAGAATTATTGGAGAGAAAGTGGGCTGCAGTTTCAACATCAATAGAAGCTGCAGCTTGTGTTCAGTCTGGTGCAACTGCATTTCTAACAGGGTGCTCCTTAATGCACTATATTGCAAAGGAAAGTTTAGCTAGATTCCTCCTTCACTCTGCTGTGACACAGCTGAGGGGAATTCTGGGAGGACACATCCCGACCCCTGCAATCTGTGCTTTACATACTCTTGACCCCTGCACTCTGTGCTTTACATACTCCTGACCCCTGCACTCTGTGCTTTACATACTCTTGACCCCTGCACTCTGTGCTTTACATACTCCTGACCCCTGCACTCTGTGCACTACATAATCCTGACCCCCACATTCTGTGCATTGCATTCTCCTGACCCCTGCAAACTTATGTAATGGAAGAGAATGCAGGTAAGAGGAGCATGAGAGTGGGTTGGGGGATATCCTTTAAAGAGAAACTGTCACTTTGCATTTCATGGCCAACTTGACAGTATCTCTTTAGGAGTTTCTCTATAAGCAACAAATTAAGTAAAGCATTTGATTGCACTTAGCTTCAATGCATTGCGTTCAGCTTTAAATAAAAGATGCATTGTTTGTGAAAATATAAAACTAATGTATGAATCAAATTGCAATTATGTTTTATAATTAAACGAACCAACCATTTTGAGCTTCACAATATGCCTTGTAAGAGTTTCCTTGTTTATGGACACAGTTATTAGCTTCATTGCATTGTACAGCTGCTCTTTTCATCCACACCATTCATGCACGGAAACACAACATGACTAGAAGGTTCAGAGTTCCTCTGCTCCAGATTTTCCTCTCTTCAACTAACACAGCATACAGATGTATTATTTATTGATTTACTACATAAAACTTTCCAAGTACACAGAGTCATTCACATCAGTGCCTTACTCCAAAAGAGCTTACAGTCTAACAGCCATACAAGCTCATATATACACACAATCCAATGTGAATTGGTCAGGGACACTTAAATTACAAGAGTGTTTTGGGTTGTCAATAGAAACCTAAGCTTTGAATTGACCATAATTTCAAGGGGCAGGCCTTCTTTAGGAACCAAAAGCCTTTTACAACTGCTCCTCCTTTTTGGTACATAGCTTTGTGTAATCATATGTATTACACTCCAACCAAAAGTGTTTATATTGCATTGCAATCCACCCCGGTAAAGATTGAACAGTTTATTGTCAGTAGTATAATATGAAAATTGGTGATGTTCCCTGAATGTGGTAAGCAATGTAATTGGTTAAATATTTATTGTGTTTGCTTGGACATTTTATGTTTAAAACAAGCATTTTTATTGGAAAAACGTGGAAGTACAATGGACAGTGTTGCAAGTATTTTGTACTTAAAGTAGAACTATAGACAAAACTTTTTTTTTCATTTTTGAATTTTTTTTACCATCTGTGTCCCATTGCAGAGATTTCCCTTTCTCTTCCTGTCCCAAAGCCAAACAGGAAGTGAAAGGAAATCCCTGATAATTAAGGGAATTTATTGAGAACCCCCAGGCCATCAGAACTACTGTCCACATTGGAAGATTTCCCCTCTATTACTTTTCTGGGGACAACCCAAAATTTGGGATTTTCTTTTACTTTCGCTTTCAATGAGAATGATAAACAGGACAAATAGAGAGGGGAATCTCCTTAACAGGGGCACAGACAGCAATAAAATCCCTCGGCACTCTATCCAAATCTTTAAAAAAAAAAGTTTTGCCTTTAGTTATACTTTAAAGTATATTTAAAGCCAACACTTTTTTATTTTTTGATAGTGTAGCATAGATTAAGAATTCCTTGCAGGTTTTCATTGATGTCTGTGGCGTTGGGGAGATTCACCTTCTCTATGTGTCTTGATAATGTCACCAAGACTGAAAGTTATAGAAAAAAAAGAAACAATTTTGATTGGCCCCAAAAAAGAGATGAGAGGAAATCTTCCAACAGGGACACATTGAAAAATGTCAGTAAATCTCCTGTTTTATCTCCAACAAGTAAAATCTTCCCACAGGTAATACGGGTTAGCAAAAAGGTAAAAAAACAACAAACCAAAAAACCATGGGATTTTAACCTTTCCATTTAACCAAAAATAACTTAACATTAGATCTATGTTAACATGTCATTTCCTTCCTATCTCAGAAAATGTGTGGTATGGGGATCTGAGGAACATCTGAAGAACACAGAGGTAATCCATGCAAAAATAGACAGAATTTACAAGTTCTATGTGCTTGGTAATAGCTTAAGTTCTCTGTAACAAATCCTAAACTCTAGGAGCCCATAGAATCCTGTGTGTTGTGGCAAAATGCATGTGCTAATAACCTGCTCTTTAATTTTGAATGTCACCTAAACACATTGTACAGCACATGGTACCATTGCCCACCACCAAATATATAATATGTATTTTGACAATAATGTCATGCATGTTTTTTCATCCATTGTGGTGCATTCGCAGTCCATTCATAATGAATAGTCTACCTGATCAAAATGTGCATTTATGTGTGCCTTATGTTACTGCACCATAACAGATCACTTTAGCGTGATAGGCCCCTTAGCCAGCATAAAAAAGGGAGTTATTTTCAGCTGAGTTGAATGAGATTTGAAAATTACATTTACATGGCTACAATTAAGATCCTTATCATGGTGTTAACAGAGAAGTATGGCCAAAGATTTTGGCCATACTTCTCTTGTAGGTCACAGGAGAGCGAAAGGAAGTGCACTGAGTCTGCTACTATTGACATGACCATATTGTTGTGACAGCGACAACAACAATATTGTTGGGATCCACTCTACTGCCTGATTGACAGCTGGATCCACCTCTCAGTGTGCGGCTGAGAGCCAGAACCACTGTCTGACAGTCAGTGCTCTCCATTCTGAGCAGGCCAAAACTGAGAGATCAGCTGTCACATGATTGCTTAGTTCTCAGTCTTAGAGCTGATGTAGAACAGCTGCAGCATCGCACCATTGCTGCAGTATAGAGTTGAGTATGGATTTTTTTTTTTTAACTCTTACTTCTTTAAAGCTTTAGAATGGAGCCTAATAGCAGCAAAGCATCAAATACTGATCATGCCCTGCCAGAGGTTTTGCAGTGATACATAGGTATCATTACATGGACACAGTGAAATAACCAGAGAGAAATTATGCACTTAAGCCAGGCATAGATGGTTCAAATCTCGCCTGGTTCAGCAGGGACTGACTATGTTGATGGGGGAATCAAGCTATTTTCTTTCCTGCAACCCTTGCATCATCTATGGTCGGCTCTGGTCTTCTTACGTACCTATGCATTTCAGTGCTATTAGTGTAAATCATCTATGCAGTAGGTTTGTTGATGACCACATCTGTCTATTTTGTGCTGTGACTTTTAGTTAAAATGGGACAGTATTATTTGTAGAAATTAATGTGCACCTGAATTTGGAATGCACCTCAAATGAGCTGAGAAGGTTGATATTTCAGCCAACATTGAAGATCAAAATAAGATCAAAATATTATTTACAAATGATAAATATATTACTAATAGGACACATTTTACAAAATAACCAGATGTAGTCATTGTTCATTAAAAATGGGCAAAAAAATTATATCATAGGGAAACCTGTAAAGTTTTTAGAGAACCTCACTGAGATACCTATGCATATTAAACATAATGTACATTGTACATAAGTCTACATTCAAGTCAGGTGACCAAAAAGATAATAAACCCAAGAACAACATGTTATTACATTGCAGTTTACCAGTCATAAGTTATGGTGACTGTATTAATCTAAATTTTTTTTAAGCTAAAATGCAGTGTCCTGT